TTTTTACCCCCAAACCACACAGCCAGGGCCCCCCAGGCCACCGCTTCCCTTTTCTCCTTATTCTTCCTCTGAACCGGCACCAAAAGGCACCGGAACCCCCCCTGGGGGGGTGAGAGCTGACTCCTGGCTCCGTGCAGGGCTATCGTGCGTGCCCGCTGTGCCAGCCTGGACCTGGGACCCCCCGGACCACCCGCCCCCATGACGGACATCCCGGGGGGCCACCCGCCTCGGCCCCCCAACTCAGCCCTCATCTACAGCAACGTGGGTGAGTGACTCCCCGGCCCCACATCCCTTCTGGTTTCAGCCCCCCCCACGGCAGGGATGGACCCCACTGCTGTCCCCCCATCACCCCCCCCTCTGGCTGGCACTGGGGAGGGCTTTGGTGCTGGAAATACCCAGTGGGGCCAATAACGAGGTGTTTTTACCCCCCCCGTCCCGTTCCATCTCCCACTTTCTTCCCCCCTTCTCCCACTTCAGGGAAGTCTCAGCCCTGCCATCTCTGTTCCTGTCCCTCCCCAGGAGAGCTGCGGGCCCACCTCGTCCCCCGCAAGGCCAGCCGAGGGGAAGGAGCCGGGAGACCCCCCTCTCAGCCCAGCTGGGACCCCCTGCCTCCCCCACTGCCGAAAAAGCAGCTCCAGCGAGCAGAGTCCCTCCCGGAGCCGAGGCAATCCCGACACTCTCGGGGTGACCCCACACCATGGGCCGGCAGCACCTTCTACAGCCTCCCACCCCCTCATCCACCACAGGAAGAGGGGGCTCCCAACTCCATCCCCCCCCGGGACAGACCCTCCTGGGGATCCAAGAAGCTCCTGACCAAATCCCAAAGCCTGGGGGAACCGGGGGCCCGGAGCAGCCCATCACCCATCCCGGCGGAGGTGACATTCGGGACGGCGGACGGGGAGCTGGGGCAGCTCCTGGAGAACCCATCGGGGGTGTGTGGGGTGGTGTTGGGGTGCCAAGCGGCCACCCTGGCCCGGCTCTCAGCTCGTCTCCAGGAGAAGCTCCTGGGGTCAGAGGAATGGCAGAGGCAGCTGGAGGCAGAGCTGGCCGGGAAGAGCTGGGCCGGGCTGAGGGTCCTGCAGCGGGAGCCCTGCCTCCAAAGCGGGGACGCCTGGTACTTCCCGGTGGGCTTCACCTTCGAGCAGAACCAGCTGGTGCTGGCGGCCAAGGTAAGCGGGGAACTGGGGACAACAGCCCCGGCTGGTGCAGAGGGAGACGGTTCTTGTGGCCAATATGGTGGGGACGTGCAAATATGGACCGGGGAGCGTTGGGTTTTCCACTCACCCCCGTCACGCAGGAGCTTCCTCTTTTTGCACCCCACTTCTGCTTCTGTGAAATGGGAGGGCACTGCGGGCACAGGTTGGGGGGGGGGGGGGGAAAACGGCACAGCCTGGGCAAATGGTCTCCAGGGGCCAGCGGACACAAAGTAGAGGCTGGAGCAGAGCTGGGTCCTCAGGGAGAGCAAGGATGAGACCCATCAAAGCAGCTTGGGGATTTCACTCCCCCATTAACTTTTCCCTTTCTTGTTCAAAACCAATCTCATGGGTGCCAGTGGGCTTGGAGGGTGCAGGAGGAGACCAGCACCCTGTGTGGGTCAGACCAGGGCTGGTGGCCCTGAGCACAGGAGGTGGCCTGGCCCAGGATGAGGCACCCCATGGCTCCATCCTCACCCAGCTGGCCATGCCCTGTGTCTCCTTGCAGGTCCCCAAGCCGTGCTGCACCAGCCTGGGGGTGCAGAGCTCCTTTGGGGTCCACTGCAGCATCCAGCGCCTGATCGGACGCTTCAATGACCACCTCCCGTGGGAGCTGGTGCTCCCGGGAAACCCTGAGGAGCAGAGTCAGTCCCCCTCCAAAGAGGAGCCAGCGTGTCTTGCCACCTGCCCTGTCCTGCAGGTCCTCATTTCTCCCGAGGTTCCCTACCAGACCCTGGCAGGTTTTGTGAAGGGATCCCACGGTTTGCACCGGGCCAGCCCTGGGCACTACGAACGCCTGGCTTGTCTCCTCCTCCTGCAGGTGTGCATGGGGCTGGAGCACCTCCGGGTGCAGAATGTGGGGCAGGGGGACCTCTGCCCTGAGAACCTGCTGCTGGTGCAGTGCCCTCCCCAGAGCCAGCAAGGCAAGGAGGTATCTCTGGGGCTGTCCCTTCCAAGGCTGCTCATCAGCAGCTTCTTCAAGGTTAAAGCCAAGCAAAGACCATGTTCTACCAGCCAAGAGCAGGACTGGACCAAGGGGCTTGCTGCACCACCCTCCCCAGTGGCAGATGAGCTGCATGTGGGCATGCTGATCTACCAGATCTTGCATGTGGACATCTCTCTGGAGAACGCCTTGGGGTTCAGAAGCAATAGACTCCCTGAAATCCCCTCCCTGTCCATCTATTCCATGGGACTCAAGCGTCTGGCCATGCTGCTTCTCCACAGAGATCCCTGCAAGAGGGTCTCCATCGAGCAGGCAAGGAGCATCCTGCAGGTCCTGCTCTGGGGGCCTCGTCAGGAGCTCTTCGCCAGGAGCAAGAAGACCCTCATCCTGCTCCGGAGCTGGGTGGAGATGAAGAGGGCTCTGCTGCTCCTGAAGTTTGCTGAGAATTCAGCTGGGGCAGTGGGGAGTCCTGGCCTCGAGGAGTGGTTGTGCTGCCAGTACTTCCAGGAGGTCACCGAACACACACTCTACCAGGTCACCCAAGTTCTCTACACCCCCTGAAGGCCAAGCTGAAGTTCAGCCCACCCAAAAGGTCTCCTCCAAGCCAAGAGCCCACGAGGACACGGCCAAATCCTGGAGCCCAGCTCACAGGGAGCCTAAGCTGGTCCTGGCTGGGAGAACTCCATTTGCAAACCCAAACCCTCCTCTCCCACAGTGTGTGAAGGATGAAGCTGGGACCAAACTCCCACCTACGGCTCCCACGGCACGGGCTGTGTTTCTACACCCTTGGATGATTTTTGTTTGATACCACGAGTCCGGTTTGTCGGAGCACCTCAGGAAAGATGCTGGGTGGAAGCCACAGGATCAAGCACAGATTTTAGTGGCTGATTAATCCCGAGCAAGTGGTGGAAAGCCCCACGTGACAGCTCACCTTAACACACCACAACCAAAGGAGAAATACAACCCCCCGTACGGCCGGCGCTCTTCAGAGAGCGTTTGTGGCGCAGTCACAAATATAAGTGACATTTTAAAGGGGGAAATACAGCAGCCACACAGCTTCAATAAAACCCAGAGCTGAGCCTCTTAAATATCAGTCCTTTATGTGCTTTTTTGACAGCGTCACACACCCCAGCGATGCATCCAGAGAGAAACACAACCCAAACTCCTCTGCCCGGCCAGGATGAGCCACAACAGCCTCAATGGTGTCTCGAAATCACTCGGGTCAGTTTAGGATTTTTGTGCCCAGGGATGGGGCTGCAGGCTCTGTCTCTGCCTGCACCAAAGCAGGGTCATGGGATCTGCTGCTGGTGTGAAACACACAGCACCAGGCAGGATCTGGTCCCCAAGCCCTGCTGTGGGGTGACCATCACAGTGAAGCGCCATGCAAGGTCCTGCTCAGGTCATTTCTACTACAATTAGAGGCACGGAGTGGTCAGAGTTGGAAGGGACCTTAGAGCCCACCCAGTGCTGGAGTGGTCAGAGTTAGAAGGGAGCTTAAATCCCACCCAGTGCCACCCCCTGCCCTGGGCAGGGACCCCTCCCACCACACCACGTTGCTCCAAGCCCCCTCCAACCTGCCCTTGAACCCCTCCAGGGATGGGGCAGCCACAGCTTCTCGGGCCAACCTGGGCCAGGCTCTCCCCCCCCTCACACCAAACAAGTTCTTCCCCACAGCTCAGCTCCATCTCCCCTCTTGCAGGGTCCAACCCTTCCCCCTCCTCCTAGGGCTCCCCTCCCTCATCCAGAGTCCCTCCCCAGCTTTCCTGGAGCCCCCCTTCTTGAGGGACTGGAAGGGGCTCCAAGGTCTCCCCGCAGCCTTCTCTTCTCCAGGCTGAACCCCCCAACTCTCTCAGCCCCCCCTCCCAGCAGAGGGGCTCCAGCCCTCCCAGCATCTCCGGGGCCTCCTCTGGCCCCACTCCAACAGCTCCATGTCCTTCTGCTGGTGGTGGCCCCAGAGCTGGAGGCAGCACTGGGGGGTGTCTCCCCAGAGCAGAGCAGAGGGGCAGAATCCCCCCCTGGCCCTGCTGGCCACGGGGCTGGGGATGCAGCCCAGGGGTGGGGGGTTTCTGGGCTGCCAGCGCACGTTGAGGGGCGTGTGGAGCTTCTCACCCCCCAACACCCCCAAGTCCTTCTCCTCAGGGCTGCTCTCCAGCCATTCTACCCCAGCCTGGGGTTGTGCTGGGCATTGCACTCAATTAATTATTAAGTAATTATTAATCCACTCGTAGCTATCACCTGACAGCAGCAAGAGCCACGCTCACAGCAGGACGGACCTTCCTGGGCTTCCCTGTAGCTCCCAGTGGGGCAGCCCAGATGTGTTCATGGAGGTGGGCAGTAGCACACCAGGCAGTCACCAGAGCCCATGGCACAGCTGGATGGGGGATGGCTCCTCCCAAGTGTCCCTGAGCTCAAAGAAACCCCCCAAAAAAATGGTAAACCAGTTCTGTGACCCCTACCAGATGAAACCCCAGAGCAGCACGCTCCCAGTTCCCCCAGTTGGTGGGTTCTGCAGGGGTGAAGACCCAGTCGAGACCACAGCCCCTCTGTGCACGGTGGGGGACCATCCCCTCCTGGAGTAGCACCCACACCCAGCAGCGTGACCCCCCCGTTGAGGTTGGACAAGCAAAGGGGAACCAAACAAGGTCCATGGTCACCACCCAAGTGCTGCTGGTCCACAGAAATGTAATTTGAATTTCATTATGGGCTTTTGGGCTAAAAAACCACCTAAGAAGGATTGTCCCAGGTGAGCCCCATCACCCTGGCTGTAGTATCCTGTGTGGCTACCAGATGGCAGTAAAGCCCGTGGCACGGCAGCAGCTCACCCAAAGCCACCTCGGGCACCTCATCCTGGAAAAACAAAGCCAAAAACCCACTTCTGGCAGACCCCAGCCCCAGGGCGGCACCTCCAAGCACCCCTATTTCTGATTTCCACCTTGGGTGACCCCCTCCCCTCCTGCCAGGAACACCCAAGGTCAGGGAATAGCCCACAGGGGATCACAGCCTTCAAGGCAGGACCATGACCATCACCACAATCACACCCAGAAAGCAGAGCACACACAGGGACAGCATCACAGAGGAAAACAGGAATATCTCCAGAAAAACAGTTTATGAAGTTCAGCCTGTTGGGTAGAGGAGGAAGACCCTCTCCCGGGTCATGCCCGGGGCACACCAGGAACAGCAACTCCACAGCTTTCAAAAAAAAACCCACAGGCAAAATACCATTGTAGAGCCCCAAAACCAACTTAGGAAGAGACCTGTGTGAAGGGGATTCCTGGCAGATCCTCAGTTCCAGCAGAGGTGACACTGTGTCCTGAGGGGACAGCACAGCCCGAGCTGGGGCAGGGGCAGTGAGAGGCCCATATAAATATCTGAAGCCAATTAAAGAGCACCCATCCATTACCACGTTGCTCATCTAACACCAGGTCCTCCAGGAACACGGTGCCATCCGCTACAGGATCCACTCCCTGCCACATCTCCAAGGAGTTTCAGGGATTATTTTGGTGTCTTCTGTTCAATCTCAAGTGTTGCTGAGCCCAAAACATCCACCTGGGGATGACCCATGGGGGGGGTGGGTCCTTAGCCCCCACACTTCCACAACTTAGAGCTCCCAAAGCCAAGCTCGGGGCAGGGAAAGGATGTTGGGCCCCCGGAGGAGCTCACACTCATGAAGATCATCTTGAGTTTCTACAGACACCTACAGCTGGGTGGAATAGCCCATCCTAGGGATTCACAAGATTAATCAACTCAAATCAGCCCAAACAACCCTCTAAAGCTGCAAGTGTTAAATACTTTAAAGTATTTCAACTTTCTGCCCCAGGTGTACTCCTGTGGAGGCTTCTCTAGTAGCTTCAGCTCAAGGTTTAACTCCAGCAAAGTATTTCAACTTTCTGCCTCGGGTGTAGTCCTGTGGAGACTTCTCTAGTAGCTTCAGCTCAAGGTTTAACTCCAGCACTGCACAAGGAGCCACTTTCCCATCAGTTCAGTGTCCCAACCACCAAACACCCCCTTCTCCTTACACCTGGACCCCAGCCTGTCTCCCCAGGAGAGCTCTGGAGGCCACCAGGCCTCAAAGGCTGTGTGTAGCTCCAGAAGTGCCACCAGCCTTCCTACATGACAGCTAAAGAACTCCCATCCAGACCCCAGAACCCCAGGGCATCCATGAGCTCCCCAGCATCTCACCTGTGACCTCCCAACCAACACCCCCTCTGAAATATCCTATGAAACACCAAGATGCAGTGACCCTAATCACCAATGGAAATGGAAAATCTGCTAATTATTTCCCTAAACACAGGCTTCTCAGGATCACCAGGTTATTTCAAGTCCCAGCAGATGACAGCCATGAGTTCCAGCCAAGCAAAGAACGACCAAGGCCTTTCTGAACCGGCAACTTTAATGGTCGGGGCAGTTCCAGAGCCATCTCTTCAAGAGTGCAAGTCTTAAACAGCTTAAACCAGCAATAAAAAGTAAAATATAAATTTTTATTTAGAATTAAAGCAAATACTTCAGTATCACAAACACAATATTAAACTTCAAGAAATATACTGCTAATTTGGAGGGAGCATTTATTTTGCACAACCACAACATGCGCACAAATCCAGAAAAAGATGTGGAGTCTGAAATTTTCAACATCTCACCACCAGAGCAGTTGGTCACAACGTTTCATACAGAGTTATAATATATACTGTAATAGATGTTGACAAAATTTCTACAGAATCATCTTTATAGACAACAAGAAAGCTCTAAGAGGCAAACATTGCAATCTATTCTTCTTCTGATGAGTCTCTCTCAAACGTGTAGGCCATGAAGCAAGCATCTGGTCTCTTGGGGACAAGGGGATGCCCTGGTCTCACAATCTCAAAGCCCAAAAAGCTGAAAGTACGGAGCAATGCAGCTAGAAAAAAAACCAAAAAAAGCAGAAAATAGGTTTCATACATTTGATATGGCAACAACAGTTAAAGCATCCACCAAAATCAACTTGAAAGGCAGGGCTATGAGTGAACACCCACCTCTATCATCTCTGTTCTTGTGGAAACAAATGAACACATGATCAACTCGAAGCTGTTCTTCAGCAAACTCTAGAAGAACTGCAAAACTACAAGAGAAAGAAAAGGTGGTCAATGCACGTGAGCAAACTCTTCCTTCAGAGAGAGCCAGTGAGGTCCTGTGAGCCCGTCTGCACGTAAATTCATTAGTGCAAGTGAGAGGCCAGGACTGGAGAAACACCACCAGGGAATTCCCAAACACAGGTTTAACTTGAAGACAGAAATTTAATTCTTCAGTAACACAGAAAACACGGTCAGGGCAGTTCCAGAGTCATCTCTTCAGAGTAAGAGCTTAAAGTAGCAATAAAAAGTAAAATATCAATTTTGATTTAGAATTAAAGCAAATACTTCAGCATTACACACACGATATTAAACTTCAAGAAATATAGGGCTAATTTGGAGCAATTTTTCTGTTGCAGCTGAAGGGAGAACTACAGTGATTGACTCAGAACCAGAGTTTTCAGAGGGTAACAGCAGCCACCCAGCAGCCGGGAACACCGCCTGGAATCCCAGAGGTTTTTTGGGTGGTTCCACCTGAAAAAACAGGTAGAGCCACCCCAAATCAGGATCACAACTGCAGAGCATCAAGCACCATAATTGGAGTTCTACTTTCACAACAAGGGAAGCAAACATCAGCAGCAATAAAGTGTTATTCCACCCTACTGATGGGCCTTCAAAACAGAGACAAGACAAACCCCAGCTGTATTTTTGTTCTACGGACCTGTCCTTGCTCCCTTCAGGCAGAGCACCACTGGGGATCTCTATGTAGAGGTTGTTGTTGTTCAGCACTGCTCTCCAACTAATGTGTTTGGCATCTGTAAGCCTTGACTGGACATTCAGAATTCTCGTCCTGTTATTAGATGTTAGTTCTTCTGTTACATTCAGCCGATTATCCTGTAGCAATAAGAAGTGCAAAGTTATTTCCGATTCATTTTGGAGAAGGGATAACTCCCATTAACAGGCTCGAAGCAAGAAATGCAGTCAAGCTCACCCACAGCAAGCTGCTTCTCATTAGTCATACTCACCGAATAAAGGGCTCGAGGCAAGAAACCTCAGTCAAGCTCACCCACAGCAAGCTGCTTCTCATTAGTCATACTCACCGAATAAAATAAATTAGCTGAAAGATTGTGATCCCTCTGACTATTCCCTCGCCCACCTGGGATCTTCAGGGGTGGGTGAGGGACATCAGGAGCACCACCGAGGCCCCGGACCCAGGTTACTACAGCAATTGAAGGGAACCCTGGAACTAGAAAGGGATGACAGTTAGGGGCAAACAGGCAGTGGGAGACAAATGCCTCTGCATTCGAGGTTTCAAACAGTGATCAAATGGCAAGGTTTTGGAAGAAAAAAAAACAACACACCGAACCTAGGCCAGGGGACCTCCTCCCACTGCAACCCAGGGATGTGGAAAGACAAAGGAACCTCCAAACCAGGGCCAGGAACACTGCCTTGTGCCCTGAAAGCTACTACTGTAGTATTTCAAGGGAAAGACTAACTTGGAGACGAAAACAGTCTCAGCTTGAAGTGGGCAAGGTGTATTTCTGCACCAAGGTACCAGTGTGGTTGACCTGATCTCACGAGAAGAACCACTCTGCCATCACATATGGAAGATCCCATTTTCTCCCCCCACCTTGTCCTCCTAAGTCATCAGGATCATACTGACCCAGGAAGCTCAGGATCATTTTTCCCTGTGATATACAACCCTAATTATCTTAGACCTTTGCATCGACACTCTTGGCTCGAGGTCAAGAAAACGACATTAAATAGTCTCACAGGTGTCACTACCTCAAATGTTTTTGCCATGCTCAGAAACAACCTCACCAGGGACCACACCTGAGTATTTGAGAACATACAAGCCTTTCTAGTAAATTCTTCAGAGCCATTTTACCCTCCTCGGCCAAGCTCAGCTCTTCAGGTGAAAAGGGAGAACTCTGAAGCTACAAAATGTTATTTCTTCTAGGCACGGGAAGTTTCTCCCCATCCATCTAAGCCTGTTGAAGCAAAATAAGCCTTCTCCTGTAGGAGAGCAAAGGCTGTGCTGCCTGGCCCCTCCCTCTGCACCATCCTTCACCCGCAGGCTCACTCTTGAGTTGCGTCATCTCAGCAGATGCAGCAATCGAGGCCCTTAGGGAAATTTTCACAATCGTCCTGTCTGTGAGTGCCAGCAGCCATTTGCAAATCAGAATAAACATGTACAAAATAATCCACCATTTTGCACTCGTTCGTCCCGAGTTTCATTTTCTATTTTTTTTTTTGTAATGAGCTCGGGACCTGTGATGAATAATCCGTATTAGAAAGGCACCGAATGGCCATACAGGTCAAATATTATACGCTGGAAGGCATTAGCAAGCACAGCAACTGCAAAGTTTTATTAAAAAAATATTAACATTGTGCTCCCAATTAAGTATTCAATCCACTATTTTACGCTCTTTGAAAGAGAGATGCTTTTAATACTAGTGGAAAATACTTATTTTATCCCAGAATGATTGTAGAGCTACGCATTCCTAATCACCCTTAAAAATGAGCCTTTAAGCACCCTGTTCAGGGTGCAGTGGAAATTCTTTATACAATTACACCTTTTGCCCAACGGAAGGCAGTGCCTAATGGCTGCCTACATTTCCCAACTGAGAATATATTTTAGAGTGATATTTATGTGCATTTACTCCTCTTGAAAGAAAAATAAGTATAAAAACGCCCTTCAAAAAAAAAATTTTAAGTCCTTTCACAATCCTCATACAAGGTCTAACCATGGCTTCCTCTGCACAAGGCAGACTGATGTTCTAACCTTCCATCACCCTACACCAGTCACCCCAGTTCAGATATTTTCTTCCCAGCATCTCTAGGGATCGTTTAATCTTTTGGTTGAGTTTTAAACTACCCTAACACTCTTAATGTTCTACTTTAGGCTCAGTACCCTCGATTAGTTTTCAAGAATATCTACCATTACATAAGGGGATAACAGCTTTCAATCCTTCGAGATCTTTGCCTAATTGTAGGGTTGGTTTTTTCCCCTCTCGGTAGGAAGAAGGCACCTCCAGGCCCTGCCTCCAGCCCGGCTTTTGTCTCCGGGCACCTTTTCAGCCCCTTCACTCTCTCGGGAGGGACTGAGGGACCCGCCGCCTCCCCTCAGGGCCCGGTGCTCCTTGTTCCTCCCGGGGCTGTGACAATTCCTGCTGTCCCCGCCGGCGGAGGGCGGCAAACGTGGCACAGGGCGGGCGGCAACCGGGCCGTGAGGCGGCTCAGGGCGGGGGGGTGGCACCGGCGGGCAGGCCCCCCCCCCCCGGGTTGGGGGAGG